AGAATACCTTGTCTCTTACAAAATATCCTTAATCGCTATTACAATCAACAGCAAACAACTTAAATATTTACATGATGTCTTATTACAACATTAATTCAAAAATTATCTAGCATCTACTACGACAATCTGTATGCGGGTGGTGTTCTGCAGGGTTTTGACTGATTGTTTTCTTAAGAAAAGCTGAAGCTGAATGCAGAGAGAACATGTACTGAGCTTTGAATAGATTCAATATATCAGACTATGTTGTTAACTGTTCTTAAATTCACTATATAGAATAGTTTGGGTTGGAAGAGACCTTAAAGATCATCCAGTTCCAACCCCCCTGCCATGGGCAGGGACACCTTCCACTAGACCAGGTTGCTCCAAGCCTCATCCAGCCTGGCCTTGAACACTTCCAGGGATGGGGCATCCACAGCTTCTCTGGGCAACCTGTCCCAGTGCCTCCCCCCCCTCTCTGGGAAGAACTTCTTCCTGATATCCAATCTAAACCTCCCCACTTTCAATTTAAACCCGTTACCCCTTGTCCTGTCACTACAGGCCCTTGGAAAAAGTCCCCCCCAGCTTCCTTGTAGCCCCTTCAGGCACTGGAAGGTGCTATAAGGTCTCCCCGGAGCCTTCTCTTCTCCAGGCTGAACAAGCCCAACTCTCTCAGCCTGTCCGCATAGCAGAGGGGCTCCAGCCCTCGGAGCATCTTCGTGGCCTCCTCTGGACTCGCTCCAACTGATCAATATCCTCCTGATGTTGATATTGAGGGCTCCACAGCTGGACGCAGCACTCCAGGTGGGGTCTCACAAGAGCAGAGTGCAGGGGCAGAACCACCTCTCTCGACCTGCTGGCCACACATATATATACTGTGTGTGTATGTGTGTGTGTGTATATATATACACATCTATATACACATACATATATATATCTCCTTCAAACATTTTAAAATACTGAACTCTCAGCTTTTTCTATCCTGGTAATTAAGTAACATGATGTTTTTACCAAAGGGAGAACAACTGCACTGTACTCAAAGTATGAGCAGCTACAATGTGAATTTTAAAATCAAAATTAATCCTTTTTCTTTCCATTCAGAAAACACCTATTACAAGTTTCCAGGCTCCTGGTATACAATGAAATCATCATGAGAGAAGCTCCTGAAAAGATATACGCAAGATACTACAAAGAGGAAATTAAGTGAATGCTGATGCGGTAGTTGTCCACAAGATCTAGTTCTTTGTCATCTAGACATTCAGCCTTGAAGAACAGAAGGGTTGCTGAAGCAAGCACAGAAAGAAAGGATATAAAAGGTAAATCCCAACTGCGCCTTTAACTGCTGCTTATCAGGTTGATGCTAGTGAGATTACAGGAATCAGACCCTTCTCACTTTCTGGCATGATGTCCACTGTATCTGAGCTTGAACTGAAGTCAGTATAGGAACGCAGAAGGGACTGAAACCGCTGCTCTTGCACGTAAGGCTGGTCTTGGAGAAAGAGTTGTCAAGTAATCCTAAGAGATGGCTGGTGACAACAGGTTACGGCTGAATACTTAACATGAACACAACCACCTGCCTGTAAATTACAAAGACAAGTCAAGCAGCAATGCAGATGTCAGATGAAGATACTCTGTCCACAAAACAGCTTTATAAGCAAAGAATTTCCACAACAAAGCCATGGGAAAACAGATCTTGAGATCATATCAGTGTATCCAGTACAGACTCTGATTATAACCTTGAGAATACGAACCTCAGTTTTTATTTATGTAGTTATTTGTTAAACAAAAAGGATTCCTGCCTAAGCACCTCATCTGAAGAGGAGCCTGAAGTCATACTAGACAACCTCTATCTGTTATTTGAAAAGGCACAACTTTCCATGAGTCAGAAAAAACTGTCTTCCACAGCAGCTGGCTTATATTCTTTGTCAATCTGAGAAACTAACAGCTTCAGTATCCATTAAAACAGCTGCAGAAGGAACAAGGAAATAGTATAACGGAAATCTTCATATTTTCAGGAGCTTTTGTTTTTTAAAAAAAAAAAATATTAACTGCCTTCGGGTTAACCTTGCTATAATCAGAAGACTTGTCAATACTCCACTTTACTGTAGTTGGATCCATCTACACTGAGTTCCTTTCCTCCCTGCAGGGAACACCTGGTCAATATAACCTACCACCTGCTTCTACAGGTTTTGAAACAAACATGACTAACTGGTAATCCTCCCTGTTGTACCACAGTGAGACTTCCAAACTGATCAACTGCAACCAGTCTCACTTAAGACATGGAGTAATAGGGAGGGTGCGTTACATAAATCTCTGTCCCTGGACATGTACATCACTTTTATTCTTCCTCAGTTTTATTAAGCACAGGGAATTCAATGCCAGGAAGGATAACGTGCAACCCAACACAAAGTAGGTCCGGAAGAAAGCAGTCTGATAACTCACAGGTTCTTGGAATAAGGCAGTAGTTCACTCTAATGTGAACATTTTAGCATATTTGTGCCTTGTTTAGGGCAGAGACACTGCGGAAGAGCTTGTCTCAGTGCAAACTCCCACAGCAAGGAAAAGATATGAAAGAACTCTCTACATAACAGTGTTAGTGTTACAGGAAGTGAAAGGGAGGAGACAACCAACGGACAGAAAGTTTTCTGATGCAGAGGAAGATGAAGAAAATGAAAGAAAACTCACAAGGAGGAATTAGTTTGACCAGGTCCCTCAGATCTTACAATAGTGCCGTTGTCTTCCATTAAGTATTTTCACATAAGATGACACAAGATTCAAACAGTGCAGAAAAATGACTACACAGAAATCAATTTACTGGATCAGTACCAAAGAACTCTTTACACTGTTTCCCATAAAGCAGATATATGTTGGTACCAAAAGGAAGATGACCTTTTTTTTTTTTTTTTTACACAGCCCATAGAACAAGGAAATCTCAATCTTGTCTAATTAGAGTGGTGATAAAGAATAAGTGCTTTCTGAAATCTGAACTTTTGCAGTAGAAACCCTAAACTTCATACACTATACTAGAAGTCTTTGCTATTATTACAAACTCTGAAAATTCCTAGTGCTATTTTGTGACCACTCTGAGTCCCGGATTACTTCTATGCAGTTTTTCCAGGCAGACCAGCCTGAGTGCCAGCCTTTTGTTTCATCATATTCTGTTTACCACCTCTTGATACCTAGAATACCTTTCAGGAACACTTTCCTCACAAGACATCTGACTTCTGGATTACAGGACTCAATCCAACTGTTCTAAGTAACATCTGCTAAAAAGGTAATTTCAGAAGAGGAAGTTGAGGAACAAAACACCCTTTCACAATGAAAAGATAAGCGAGCCACGTTGCAGAGACAGTGGCCTCAGACTGGTAAAGTACATCCACTCTATATATTCATGCACTGAGAATTAGCACACCATATGCCAGCACGCTAACTGAAGACTCGGCACGCTGTATGCCAGCACGCTAACTGAAGACTCTTCCCCAGATTCAAATGATAAGGCCTACATATGGCACAGTAAAATCAGATGTTATTTAAAGACAGAACTTAATCAGCCTCTGTTGTTAGATCTTAAGCAGCACACTGGGTTCCTTTAAAGTATAAGTTTTCTTTATAATAAGTTGGCTAATACTATGAATTACATCTACCAACCCAGTGACAACAGCTGCTGTCTGACATGGGGGCCAAGGGCCAGCTTGTCCTACACAGGCCTCTACCTGTGAGGCCACATATTAGCTAAGTTTAGCATTACGGAGAAAAAAAACCCTTCATTTTTGTTTAATTTACACTGATGCTCAAATTTTAATTGAGAGGGTTAACGATGTAAGAGCACAAAGTCCCACAGTCATTTCAAGTGAGATAATACTTATTATAATTTGCAACTGAAACTTTTTTTTTGTAGGCCGAGTTGCAAACTGATGTTACTGTGTTGGAACTAAGCACCTGAAAGAATACTTCAAAGAAATTTAAAGCCAGATTCCTTCTCCTTCATTAACTGCTTTCTCCGTAAAATGGGAGATGAACATGAGCGAGACTGTACATAACCCAAAGGCCCACGCAGAACCTACCTAGTGGGGTGAGACCTTCCATTGGATTCAGTGTGAACACAGCTTTCCACCAAGTTACCAACCACAAGAAAATTATTTTTAATTCTGACAAAGCATTTCCTTTGCACACAGTCTATCATGGCTACATTTGAAAATTCATATAGAAGCTGTGTTTTCAAAGACCTATCACCTACCCATTTTATCTTACATACACGTGTATATACTATACACACACATATACAGACAGTTTACATTACAAGGCCAAATAGAATCTGCATTTTACATTCATTTATAACAACTAGGCTAAGCAGCTTTGTACATAATGCAGCTCAAAGCTTGTGTATCCACTTGTATACAAACAGTACTGAGGCTTTTGTTTCCAAGTCACAGCATTTCCTTCCAGAAAAAATCAAGTCCAAATAGACTCCAAATTTCAGCTGCCTCCTTCCTGTATCCGGCAGGGCAAAATTCCCCTTTGTATCAACTTCTTATTAATTGCATTTTTGGCTGGTTACCTCCAGCTCTGTTTTGCAGGCAGTGACTCTTCAGAAAATCCTGGTATAGTGTATATAGCAGGCTTATTTTGATATAAATGTGACTTTTCATATTTGAAATAGAATATATTACAAATACCTTTTAATAAGAATACTACACGCTGCAATGGTGTAAATGTGGGTTTTTTTGAGTTTTAGACCTGAGCTACCAACTAGATTCCTCCTGTGTCTTTAGCTAAGCATATAACCATCTGTAGAAATACCTGCTAAGCTTAAGTGTGATCCTGTGAAGCTACACTAACCACTATGTGATAATGTATGTAAATGTGATTTTTTTTTTTTTAATCAAAAACACTTTTCTTTTGTATTGTCACATTTTTGGCTAATCACAGATTTTAATGCACAGCTTAAAAAGTTAACTTTTTCTGGCTAATGAGATTGATTTCAGCCCTAGTTCTGAATTTTAGACAATTTGAAATTAACAAACCTCTCTGGCAATGTTACTCAGAGCTTCATCTTCTGCAGAAAACCTGTCTTTCACTGGAGTTCTCTTCCGTCCCGATCCAGGAGTTCCCATTTTTATTCTGTGGTTCTGTATTTGCAAAAACAGACAGGAAAAAGCTCAGTTTTCAGACCTGGAATTATAACCAAACAAATAATCCACACCCCATGATGTAGTAAGCTTTTCAATTCTTTAGCTATATAACACTCAAGAAACCTACATGCCATTGGCACAGATTTATCCAGCAGTTTTATTTACAGGAAAACTTTCATCACAAATATCTCGTGGCAGCTTTACAGAACACCACTGCATCCTACAAGGTGCACACACAGTATTTTTCTACTGAACAGAACCCATCAGTTTACCTACAGTTTCAAAGTTATGCACAACTGTCAACTGCTCCTAACTCAATGATGATATCTATGTACCCTGCCACTTTTCACAGCTCCTAAAAATAAGTATCCATTTAATTCTATGGACATGAAGAAAACCGATAGGTAACAACGGGTTCAAGAATTACACTTACACGATCATTAGAGCTCTATCCAAAACAGAAGACACATTCAGCAGACAAAATTTTCAGAACATCCAAGCAAGGTATATGGGGCTTATTCACATTTAACTCAGCTGCAACTGAATGACAACTGCAGTCTTCTACTAAAGCAGAAGTTTCACTGTAGTAGGAGACATTTCTAGACAAACATTCTTTTGCTTAACAAGATTCAGTATTTGGGAAATTTAAGAGGGAAGCATACTAGCATCACAAACCAAGAATAATACATAAAGTACCCTCTTAGTCTTCTTCCAGACACCTCTGTTTTCAATTGCAAAGATATAAAAATCAACACCAAACCAAAACATAGCACATACAGCCACAGACAGCAAAACATTACTCAAAAACACCACAACACCTAAATTAGTTTTTTCAAATATCTTAAAGAAACGCTAATTCCAGACATCCAGGTTCTTCCAAAGGCCAGATCAGAATATTTGGTGGTAGTCCATCTCTGATATAAAAAAGATAAGCATCCCACATGGGGCTTGGGAAAACACCTTACTTGGAACAAATTTTTCTTCATGCAAACAGAAAAGGTCTAGAAGGGAACTACTATGGGCTATCTGCAACTGAACTAGTGCAAAAACTATCATACTGGGTCAAACTAGCAAACGTTTGAGAATTCCTGACAATTTCAAAGGTAGGGGGAGGATTCAATGGGTATTTTGTACAAGCACAGTTTTTAATTTATTACTTTTATACAGCAATCACAAAGGCAAAATACATTGGGGTACTTTCTGGCACTCAAAGATTTCAAGTAGCATCACAGCTCTTTTTTTGTATTTTAGCTTCTACGTGCACAAACAACCCCCCAACACCTGTATGCTGCTATTTCTCTCCTTCCCTTGCAGACAGGAAGTCTTTTATTTTGCTTCAAATTCTGCAGATATTTTAATGTTCTTTATGCACTTAGACAAGGGATACAGAATATTTGCTGATGAGAGAAAAGACAACTAAGACTTGAAACTAGACGTCTCCCTTCTTAAAAGATCCTGCATAGGACAGATACAACAATTATGCAATAATCTTACTCATTTCCAGTTGCTATTCTGAACCCAAACTAAACATAGTCAATACTGCAGATGCACAACTATTCCACTGTGTAAAAACCTTAGAGAGCTTGTAGTGCCTGAAGATGAGTAGTAGAGGAATAACACCACAGTATCTGAAAGGGCCAGAGAAAATGCAGGCCCTTTGCATCTTCTAATGAACTCACCCTACATATGGGAAAGGGTGGACCTAAGTATCCCCACTAGATTCCATCCATTCAATTCATTTTGCATTGCAATTCATTTTGCAATTCATTTTGCAGTGCAATATTTGGATAAAATACAGGCATTTGGACCAACACACTACTCGCCTGCCAGGGAGTGTTTTGACCATCTGCCTGTGGCTCATGGTTCAATTTATTTATTACATCCCCACAACATTTTTTTTTTGTTATTGTTTTGGCTTTAATTCTGGTGTTAGGAAGCAGCACACTTTCAGGAAGAAACGTAAGGTTCCAGCCTCACTATTATCGGAGGTTGGGATGGGTCTTGAAACTATGACAGCAGAGCCCAAACTCAAGACAAAGGGAGACACCAAGATAAGGCCTGGGACAAGTACTGCCACCCTTAAACCATTCAGTAAGAGTCTGTCTTTTAAGTCAAAACAAGCAAGCAAACTTAGGTGTTATACTCAGATTAATTTATATATATACATACAGAACACAGTTTGGAGATCTCTGTATCAAAGCTTTAAGCTCAGAGCTACAGATTGCTGCCCACATTTAGAAATAGTGTCTCCAAAAATCTGCACATTTTTTAAGTAATCCTTATTGGCTGACTTCAAATAGGAAAAGCAGATAGGGCCCAAAGTAGAAATTGCATCAACACAAAATAATACTCCTCTACTACAGAAAGTTTTCACAAGGTTATATATTAGCAAAAAAAAAAAGAAAAAATTGAGAAAATTGTTATTACTATAGATCAGTTCATGTAAGCAACTGACCTCAAACCTATCTACCAAAAAAAGCCACCAAGTATGACGTGAAATTCTTTTAATCTGTATGTTAAGGGTTGTATTTCTTAACAAAATATTTACCACGTAAGTAAAAACTGCAGAATAACTGCACATACCATAGACTTGAACTGCATTTGTGAACATCTTTTAAATACACCACTTTAATAGACAGCCAACTTTCGTTTGTTAATTCAGTGAGATTCTCTTAGCTGGCAGATTGATTTGGGGAATGGAATGTAAAAGGTTATATAGGTTTAAATGTATATATATAGTGAATTTCTAAAAAAACATTAGATGCTGATGATTTAAATGAGTAAAAAGCACTTAATCTCAGTCTTGCTGTATAGCAAAATTGTGCCAAAGACACCGTGGAGGAAGGCAAGTGTGGCGAAGTGAACTCCTGAAGCCCAAACCCAAGAAAAGCAGCAGGGACAGATTACCTAGAAGGTATACAGAGATGTTGCCTTTGCCTACAAGAAGGAGTTAGGAAAGAGAAAACTATGAAAGGCTGATAAGGACAAAAAGAAAGGCTATTATAAGGACATTTGGAACAAAAATACCAAAGAAGACTAGAGAGAACTGTAGAGGCAGGGGACATAAGTGGCAGGTGCTTGCAAGGCTAACCCTTGGCAAAAAGATCTGGATGATAACAAATGTGACAATAGGAATTTGTGCGTGTTAATCAAAAATGCAAAATTGTCTGACAGGATATTTGTCCCAAACTGGTCTATTGAAGAGCAAGAGGATCATCAGTCAGACTAAACAGTAACTAGAGAATGCCAAAGAAATCTTTAAAATAAAGGAGTCCTTTTGGAAAAGAAGTATATAAAAATGTGAAAAGCTGTAGCAGTGGGGAGTGCAGGAGAGCTGTATCAGGCCTTGGAGAGGAAGCATCAGCAGCCAAAATATGGTTTGATGCTGCCAGAAGTCAACCCGCTGACTGCATCATGATATCTGCCCAGGCCAGACAACCCAGAGGATGCGAGGTCCTGCACTACAGCTAGTGGGTGGCCAGGACAGGGTGCAGCAAGGAAGGAGAAGAGATACCTCCTGTGCATGAACGCGAGCTCATGAGGTGCACGCACGCTGGCACGTGCATTAGGGCATTGTAGCGAACAGCACAGCTACACGCAAATCTAAAGTGCCCACATCTCCAACAGGAATTGTGCTGAAGCACAGGGGGTAGTTAAACATTGGCCTAGGGAGGCTGTGAGAAGTCCAGCCCTGAAGATACTCAAAACTTGACTGGACAAGGCTCTGAAAAACCTGCAGTAATTGACCACACTTTGGGCAAGGGGTAACCTCCAGAGGTTCTTTCCAAAATAAAATATTATATGACTCTACAGTTATTACTGCCAGCTTTGAAACTAAACCCTGATATAAGCTTTCTTTAGTAAGATGTTTTAATATTCCTTCAGGTGTCATAATTTCTTCCACTCCGTGTAACTTGTAATTGAGCTGATGTAAGAGTTATTTTTTGCTTGTCATACAGTTCAGTACTAAAGAGATCCAGTTCTATCATAAATAGACCAATTATTCTAATACTAAACATATCATAATGTTACTTCTTAGAAAGATATAAGGTGCCAAACATTTGACACGCATGCATGTCTAACTGAAGAGAACCTGAAAACAAAACTGAACCATACAATAAACAGTTTGTTACATTGGCCTTCCTAAAATATAAGAGATAATAAAAGGGGAGTACATTATAGACTGCCGCATTTACCGTTCAGAATTCCTGAGTCACATCTACTACGTGTTTATTTCTCACTGTAGGCTGGGTTACATATTGTATTCCACGACTGATGCCATGACATCCTGTTGTATTTTATTAAAAAAAAAAAAAAAGAAAAAAAAAGAAGAAAAAAAAAGAAAAACATCTGAAGTCCCCTAACAAACCAGAAGACCAGTGAGGAAATCCTCCAAGTTCCTCCTCTCATCTGCCTTCTCTTCAGGCCTACGCAAGTTTTACCTCTTCCCCAAGTCTTTGCTGTCCACTCTTCTTCCTATTACCTTCTGATTAAAGGTTCCCTTTGTTTCTTTTTTGATTCCCAGAAAAAAAGTGTGACCTGTCTTACGTAAAACAGAAGCTACACTACAATTTAAGGCCCTATCACTCACCACCTTGAATGGCACCACCTGTTTCATTGCCTGGGCCTACGCCAGTGTATTTGGCATCACAGACATGCAAGGCATTCAGATACTAGTGTGCACAGGCTATAAATAAACAGACTGAAACTCTCCTTTTCTCTTTCAAGTAAGACCACAAGATGATTAAAATTCACCTGTCTAGAAACAATCCCTGTATATCTGATCCACCAAGAGAAAAGAGCAGCCCTCCTCTAGAATCACTGGCTCTTAAAACTAGCCTCACAGTTTCCTAATTAATACTGGAATATAAACCAGCAGCACCTGCATTTCTAATCCAGGGCCACAAACAGCAGTCTGCATCTTTAACAAAGTATATTATTTTAATCCTGGGAAGGAATTGCATCATTTGTCCATAATATGC